GTGATGAATCACTAAATTCTACTCCTAAAATCATTATTACACGATATGTTAACTAACTTGGATTTAAATAAATAAATAAATAATATAGTGATTATGCCTATATTATGACATATATACGTATAAATATGTATATGAGCTAAATATTCAGATTAAAGCCTTTTTTGATCCCCTTCTAGATGACAATTCTAACTTCTCCTTCAGGGGCTAATAGGTGTTCTGCGATAAAATCATTTTACATTTTATTTTTAAGCCAAGGGCCTTATTTGCCTGGAGTTTTAGTAACTTTTAGAACCTGGACTCTCAGATGAAAGTAGGTACATAAAAATATTGTTTCAGGATTTAATAGCTATCTTTTGTGATTAAAGAAAACTCTGTAGGGCACCTGGGTGGCTCAGTCGGTTGAGTGTCTGACTTCGGCTCAGGTCATGATCTCACAGTTCATGAGTTCAAGCCCTACATTGGATTCGCTGCTGTCAGTGCAAAGCCTGATTCAGATCCTCTGTCCCCTTCTCTTTCTGCCCCTCCCCTGCTTGTGCTCTCTCAAAAATAAATAATATTAAAAAAAAAAATAAAGAAAATCTGTAATCACAATTGGAAATATTGACTGTTGTTTTAAATTTATTTCAGCCACAAATAACAGAAAAACCTCCTAAAAATGCCGTAAATAATAAAAGGTATATTATTTACAATACTAAAAAAGTAATCAAAACAGAACTTTTGAAGAAAACCTATTTCTTATAAAAATACTAAGAGAAAAATCATCCTACTAATTTTCTAGACAGAATGATACACCCACACGTGCGCGCGCGCACACACACACACACACACACACACACACACACGTTGCCTTTGATTTTCAAAATCCTATGAGAGGGCAGATGTTAGCTTTAATTATTTCTTGCCTAATATTATCACTTGAATATTTAACCTTTTCCTAACTTTGCAGGCTCTGGGAGAGCATTGCAAGGGCACTCCAGGTAGATGGAATACTATCAAAATTACCATAGGAAGGAGGGAATGTGAGAGAGAGCACATGCCCCAAATGGGGAACTACAGTAGTGCAAAAACAGCTGGGGAGATGAAGCCTGAGAGGCAGACAAGGGCTTATCAACCCCTGAAGGATTTCAAGCTAGAGAATCCATGACCAAATCTGCAGTTAGATTACTCTGGTGGCAGTTCAGGGGATTATGAGAAGATTGGAAGGCAGAAGATTACAGAGAGCTACTACTTGATCGCTGCTTGAAAACAGGGAAGGTCCAGGTTAAGGTCATGACAGCAAGGCTGTACAGAGATGTTTTTGACAGTATTTAGAAGGTAGAATTGATGGGACTTGGCCACTGATTGCATATGGCATTAGGGGTGAGGGAAGATTCTAGGATGATTTCTGACTTGGGATTCCATCTGAATAACAGTACCATCCACCAAAATGAAGAATATAGAAGAAACAGGTTTGGGGAGAAAGAAATAAACTCCCAATCTACATAAAACAGGAGGAGAGCTAAAAATGGAACCTTACGGAGCCTCAACATATTCATGAATAGGCAGAAGGAGAACACAAACACGAAGAAAAGGTGTTATCTGGGGTCATGGAAGGCAAGTACAATGAGAATTCTGTGACAGAAGTGGTAAGCAACCATTAAGTGCTGTAAAGTCATCAAGTAACATAACAGAAATGTATGTATCAAGTAGGAAGTCCCTGGTGACCTTTGCAAGAGCAGTTCCAGAAAACTAAAGACCCAAGCCAGAACTTGGTACTGTGAGGAGTGAATGGGGAGTGAAGAAGCAGAAAAAGTCAATGTTCACTATTATTTTGGTGAATCTGACTCTGAAAGAAGGTGATCATCTGACTAATAACAGAAGAGAAACAATGTTAAGGAAGAGATGTTTGTCTGTTGTTTGTTTTATGGTGTGGCTTGGGCCTGTGTCTTGGGGTATAGTAAGATTTTTGGGGGGAGTGGGAAAGCTGACAAAGTAAAGGTATCAAAAGGAATGTAGTGGGATCCAGAGTGGAAGTGGTGGTGGAACTAGTCTTGGACAAGAGGAAGGTCTCCTTTTCCATTGAATTGAGAAGGAAAGATTTATGTTCATGTAGATAAGAGGTTGGTTAGGTTGGGTGGGTAGGTGGTAAGAAGCAGATAAACTTAATGAAGTATCAATTAAAAGGGAAGATTCTCCTTTCAGAGGGCAGAGAGATAGATGATCATGTGAGTTTAAAGAGAGCAGTGGAAGTTGAAAAAGGTACTGATGAGAATGGAAAAGCTTTAATATCTCTGTAATATAATTAGGGACTTGTCTTTTAAAAATTAATCTCAGTCTACATATGTGGAAATACGGGACAATGACTGCCAAGCAAAGAAATCTGATTATATTTTGCTTTACATGAGACAGTACTTCTTGGCTTCCACGTGGGAGGATGATACTTCTAGCTCCCTCCTGAGGAAGGCATGCCCTTCAAATTCTTCTAACAGTAGTGATGGCCTTTTAATCCCCAACACATTTGCATGATGATTATAAGGATTTAGAATGGAAGCTCTAGTCTTGGAACAAAGTTTTCCTTCAACATTACACTGACCTATTCTAAAAGTCAAACTCCAAAAATCTTAGCATATTGGCACCAGCCACTGCCACGTTTACATGTGACAGCATTCTATTTTAAACTATGATCTATGTCAGCTTCTTAAATTGTAAGCTACACCTTGCATGTCAAATTTTCCAAAGGCTTGCATAACAAGCTTATGAAAAAATCTCGTAAATGCTCCCTAGTGGGGAAACTGCACATGCAACTACCTGTTTATATATGCAGTAACTTGAATTATACATGAAAATTCCACATGGATGCCCAGAATCAGCACTGTGTTAATTCAAGAAGTATATTAAAATTTTTGGATGTATTTAGTAGCAGAACCTAAGAAAAATCTGTTCTTTAAACAGGGTTTTCTTTAAAAAAAAAAAAAAAAGATCTGTTAGTTGGAATCTACTGTTTCAAGGAATCTACTCTTCCTAGAAAAATTAATAATCTGTAATAAATATTAATCTTATAATGTGTTTTTTAAAATTCTGGGAAACTCCATATCTAGATCTTTTAAAGAGTCTGTAAGTCTGCAAAATTTCCCTATCCCATAAAACTTAAGTCATATTGAAAATAAAATTTTAATGATAAATGTCAGTTGCAGAAGTTATCACCTTTTCATTTGAATGCTTGACTTCTATTGGATAATTCTCTTCCAAGAGACCTTCTTGGGAAAAAGATGTGACAGCCAACTCATTGCCTAATTGATTTAGGAACAGTGCCCAGGGAGACAGTCCAATTAAGTTTACAAGCTGGCAATTAGCAGGAAGCCCTCTAAATCCCTACACTGAGAGCCTGTTTACTTTAGTAAGAAGGCAAATGTGCTAGAGATAGGAAGAGAAAGCTGTGCTTTTTGCAAAGCTGTTGTGAGTAGGCCCACAAGGGAGGGCTAAAGAAAAGCTAGGTATATGTGGGCAGACAGCCTTCTGTTTGACAGGTAACTGGGTAATTTAGAGTGTGTGTGTGTGTGTGTGTGTGTGTGTGTGTGTGCATGCACGTGTGTGTGTGTGTGTGTGTTTTAACAGACATGCAAAACATCTAACATCCACTTTAATGAGCGTTGTGTATGGAGACATACAACTGTTAAACATGTAGTTGGGCAAAGAACTGGATTATTTTATAATAAATGAGATTCTAAACATTTTTTCTTGGACAACATTAACGTTATATATAAATTTAGATGCATTTTTATTATGTGGAAAGAACACAGACCTCACATTATATTCATTATACCTTTCAGGTTAATCAAGTCATTTTTAAGTACATTTATTTCATCAGTTCAATTTCAGAGGCAAGTAGATCCATTAAAAAATAATAAACTGACATATACTTAACAAACACTACAGTCTCTTTAAAAACTTAACTTTGGGAGCACCTGGCTAGCTCAGTCACTTAAGCGTCTGACTCTTGATTTCAGCTCAGGTCATGATCTTGATGTTCATGAGATTGAGCACCGCATCAATCTCATGAACAGCTGCTGTCAGCACAGAGCCTGCTTGGTATTCTCTGTCTCCCTCTCTCTCTCTCAAAATAAATAAATAAATATTTTTTAAAAAATAAAAACTTAACTCTGTATCACAGAGCCAAACCATGCATAGAGTTTAAAAATGTATTGACTTTTCTATGTTTTCAAGTTGCAATAAAATGCATTAATTAAAATCTATTTTTTAAACCTAAATCTATTTTTTAAGCCTTACGCACTCCAATCTGAGAAGCAATACATACATATTATATAAAATAATTTTAATAGGGGCACCTGGGTGGCTCAGTCGGTTAAGCGTTAGACTACAGCGTAGGTCATGATCTCCCAGCTCGGGAGTTCGAGCCCTGCATCGGGCTCTGTGCCAACAGCTCTGAGCCTGGAGCCTGCTCCAGTTTCTTGTCTCCCTCTCTCTGTGTCCCTCCCCTACTCACACTCTGTCTCTCTCAAAAATGAGTAAACATAAAATCAATCAAATCAAATCATTTTAATAGAAAAATTATCACATTCCTTCAACACAAAAATTTTTAATGGGCATAGTAAATAGTTTTAGAATATTCACATATGTATTTATTTTGGAAGGTATCAAATGTGGAAGTTTAAGCTTTTCATTCATCACAATGGACAATTAGTGCAATTTCCAAATTCTTCACTATCTAATGTTCCCTAACACTTAGAAAATCATCCACAAAGCTTTCTTAAACCATATGAGGGCACCTGGCTGGCTCAGTTGGTGGAGCATGTGACTCTTGATCTCAAGTTGTGAGTTTGAGTCCCACGTTGAGCATAGAGATTACTTGGAAAAAAAAACACAACTACATGAAATGTCTGAAAGGCAAGCCTATTTACGGGAAGACATAGAAAACCTACATTTCTAGAATGGTTTTATTCTCTTAATCATAATGTTATCATCATAAACATTTTACTTACTCACCAACTTCCTTGACTTACCAAGTTTAAACAAAAGTGCACCCAAAGGTCCTCTGTCAAACCTGAGGAAGAGGAGATCATAGATGTCCCCACTTTTAGGCTTCTGAGAAACCACCTGAGGAGCTATCCACTGCATTTGAACAAGACTGCTGGAAATGTCAAAGAATTTATTGAACTGCAGAGTCTCCCTGGGTGAGCGGTCTTCAGCCAAGAGCTGGATGTTAATAGGGGATAGAGCCATATCAAAAATTTGCAGCTCCCCTTGGTTGCTGCCAACTAGTAGAATGGCGCCACTTGGGTGGCAGCTTATTAATGAAGGCAAAAGTTTAGCCTGGGCTAAGAGAGTTACTCTACGGTGAGCTTCATAAAGAATTACTGAAGAATCTTCACAGCCCAGAATCAGTTTGTCTTCAGTAACATTCCTGCAGCAGCTAATGGCCTTCGATCTTAGTGGTATTCTGGTTATTGACACACACTGGATTTTATTCCGAACACATTCATAGATGCAGCTGTCAGCCATGGGCTCTTTGTCTACACTGATGGAGTGCTCCACTGTCAACACCTGATAAGGCTGTTTATTGCCAAAGCGAACATCCAGCAGATCCCATTCTGTGCGGACACAGCTCAGAACCTGTGAGAAAAGTATCAAGTATGTTCACACAGACCTTGGTTTTTCTTCAGCTGTCACACATACGACTGCATATTAATCCAGCATCCCATTGAAGACCATCAATTATCACCTTAAACATCAGCAACACTTAAATATGTATGTGCATATATATTTGTGCATCTCTCACAGAACACATAAATATATATAGCACATATATAACACAGCTGCAGAAATTGTAACATTTTAACTTTAACACTTTGTTTTTGAAAGTCTGTAAATAACTTAATGTTCAATATATAAAAACTAATAAGGTGGGCTTTTACTAAAATAGTATGGTAGTAGAATATCTAAAAATATCAGTTTAATTTTTAAAACAATGAATAAAGGACTTATTTATTTCTTTTAAACACCAAGAGTTTCTTTTTCTTTTTTTCTTTTTTGTTAGGAGCACCTGGGTGGCTCAGTCAATTAAATGTCCAGCTCTTGGTTTCAGCTCAGGTCATTATCTCATAGTTTGTGGGTTCAAGCCCCACATCAGGCTCTGTGTTGACAGTGCTGAGCCTGCTTAGGATTCTCTCTGCCCCTCCCCTGCTCGCACTTGCATGTACGCACACTCTCTCACTCAAAATAAATAAAAACTTTAAAAAAATAAAATAAAGTTATTAAAATATACCCTACTGACTGAAGAGCTATCTGAAAGGAAAATTTGTCAATACATTTTCTAGCTATAAGGTGCTCTGTTAGCAGATCATTTGCAAATAGGAAGTTGAAAACACCAAATGCAATTAGGTAGTCATTGCAAAATACCAAGAAAAAATACAGACTTTTTAATCCAAACTTGCATATACTAAGACATCTCTCATATTTATGCAGCTGGTTTTTCCTCCCCAAATGAACTTAGTCAGGAGATGATCAGGTCAAGATATAATGTTAAGATAAAGAAAAAGTACAGTGTATAGTTAAGGGAGAAACATTAAATGACAATGCTCTGAAAAAAAAAAGCACAAAGGAGAGAAAATAATCCAAAAACAGAGGACCCTGGCTGATGAGACTCATGTAAGCTAACAAGATTAATTTGATGTCTTCTATCATCTTCCATAAGGCTTGTTCAATGTTATCCTCTACAAACTTCATGATCAAGAATCCCCTTCTTTCACTGAGTTCTTGATCTTTCTTTTTTCTTTTTATTGAGGTATAATTGATATATATTATATTACTTTCAGGTGTACAACAAAATGATTCAATGTTTGTATATATTGAAAATGATCATTATAGGAAGTCTCATAAACATCCATCATCATACACAGTTATAAACTTTTTTTCTTGTGATAAGTACTTTTAAGATTTACTGTCTTAGCAACATTGAGTTCTTGGTCTTAATCCTATCTTCAGGCACTCCTCAGATTAGGTGAATTCTGAAATCTAATAACTCTTTAAAGATTCTTAAAAAATACATGCCAGAGGTTTCAGGAACTAGTCAATAGAATTCAAATGGGAATGGTTGTGGTAAAGGACACGGTGAAAAGTTTTAACAAAGGCATAGTGAGCAGGCAAAGAATGAGATGCAGAAGAACAGTGTTGATAATTAAGAGATGAAAAAAAAAAAACCTAAAAAATTTTTTTTTAATGTTTATTTATTGTTGAGAGAGACAGAGACAGAGAATGAGCGGGGGAGGGGCAGAGAGAGGAGACACAGAATCTGAAGCAGGCTCCAGGCTCCGAGCTATCAGCACAGAGCCTGACATGGCGCTAGAACTCATGAGCTGTGAGATTACCTGAGCCGAAGTTGGATGCTCAACCGACTAAGCCACTCAGGTGCCCTTAAAGACTTTTATAGTGTGTGGTGGCCTGCTTAAAGTCTCGAGATCTTTAGAAAAAAGATCTCTGCTTTAATTCTAAAGTAATAGGAAAGTACAAAGATGAAAAGCACAGAAACAGACAGTGTGTTAGCTAAACCACAGATTATGCTATGTTCCAATGGGTCAGTTAAGAAAGACTGTGACAGCAGACCTAAGAATAGATGACCATGATTCAATGTTTTATTTTTTTGTTGTTTGCTTTCTGTTTTGTTTGTTTGTTTTTTAATGTTTATTTATTTTTGAGAGAGAGAGAGAGAGAGCGTGCACAAGTGAAGGAGGGGCAGAGAGAGGGAGGGAGACACAAAATCCGAAACAGGCTCCAGGCTCTGAGCTGTCAGCACAGAGCCCAGTGTGGGGCTCTAACTCAGGACTGTGAGATCATGACCTGAGACGAAGTTGGCCACGTAACCAACTTAGCCACCTGGGCACCCCGTTTGCTTTTTGTTTTTTAAAGAAAACTGTGTAATAAAGAAAGAAATGATAAGAGTTTAAAAATTCAAGCCAAGAAAGAACAGAAAAGGTAAAGAAGAATCCTAAAGGTCTTGGAATTTCTAATTTCAAGGATAAACAAGCTGGTAGTTTCATTCCTAAAATGAATTGTTTCAGTCAAGTTTGAATCAGTCAGCTTTAAGGCTGAAACTTGTTGAAAAATGCACACTGAGATTATTTCATTTTTATTCTTAAAAAGGCTAAATTTGAAAAAGGTAGACAGAGCTGTTCCAAAAGTCATCAAAAAAGGAACAGTATAGAGTAGGAAAAGCATTAAATAGTTAATATAACTCATGCCCTCTCCGGAAGATATTTTAAAATTAAGAAAGCACAGAAAGCAGAAAAGCAATTATAGTGAGCTGGAGATAGGCTCAAGATTGTCATGTTTCATGTTTAGCTATAGAGGGCTGGTTCAAACTAAGTGTTTATCGGGACACCTGGCTGGCTTAGTGGGTAGAGGATTCGACTCTTGATCTCAGGGTCATGAGCTCAAGCCTCATGTTGGGTGGAGAGCTTACTTAAAAAAAAAAACTAAGTGTTTATTATGACCATGAATATAGCATCCCTGATTCTGGCAAAGTGGTGACGGTGGCACTATAGTTTTTGAATCTCTCTAAATCCCTACATGAAAGAAACAGTTCAACTAAATAGCAAAACCAAAAACCTATGGATGACTAGATGAGAATTCGAGAGAGCATTGTATGTAATGACTTTATGCTCCAATAATGTAAATAAAGTACAACTATTTAAAAATGCAAAGGAAAGAATTGATAAAAACATAGGCAAAAAGTTTCTGAATATTCTCAGTAATTTATATTAGTAGTGGTAGTATTAGTAGGATTATTCTCAGACTGTTAAGTGTATACTGTGACATAAAGTAAGCAAGTAATTGTGAGATATTATAATTCATCTCCCATGTCCCTGAAAACTAGGATTTTTGTATGAAAAAGAGGAGATACAGATGTAATATAGAAGAGGTTAAATTTAAAACCCTGTATCCTGAATTTGAGTTAGAAGTAACAATGTGAACTCACTCTGAATATATATATATATATATACACATATATATATATACACACACACACACCCATATATATATATATATATATATATATATATATATATATATATATATATATATATATATAAAATATGTAGCTCATCCTACTAAAGATACCTAGAAATAATGCCCAATCCAATAACAACACATTATCCCTAGCTCCCAAACTTGGGCTTACAATACCATTTTCCATGAAAAGAAACCAGAGCTTATTAAAGAAATGGCAAATTCCAGATCTGAGGCAGGAAATGTTTAAGATAAGCATGAAACATACTGTCATAGCAAATAGCAGGGAAGCTACCCAAGACTACTGAGGTCATGACAAAAAGAGGAACCAACTTGTAGAGGCTCCAAATATGAGACAAATTTGAGCTTTCAATAGGATAATGACTACAATTTATAAAACCCATCAAATCAAATATATTTAAATTCATAAATTATCAATGCTACTTAAAAAACAAAACTAATTGGTTTTCTTCAGGGAGTGATAAGGAACCAACTCATTATCTTGAAAACTAGTAAATAAAAGAAAAGAAACAGACATTTATCCTGATTATAATACATGAATTCAACCACTAGGAAAACAAATAGGAAATGAGTAGAAGTATCTATAAAAGTATCCCAATTAATAAATGAAAAACTAGTAATTAGAATATCATCATTTGCAACCTAATGAATTAATGGATCTAGGCACTGAGCATTAGTAGCTGCTAACATCAAAGAAGAGAGACAACCAAGAGAGAACCTGACGTTACGTGCCTTCTGATGAAAAGAACACACCGCCCCACAGTCTTGCCAAAACTGACTAACTTGCAGAATTTTCAAAAGACAGAGAAACATGTTGAACCACATGATTATGCAAACAACAAAATCTACACTATGAGACACTGCAGTTTCAAAAGATAAATTTTAAGGAAAAGAAAGCAATGGAGAGGGGGATTTGTATACTAAAAGAGAAACATTAAAGTGGTTTTTAAAAAATTTTTTTATGTGTATTTATTTTTGAGGGGGGGAGGGGCAGAGAGAGAGGGGGATAGAGGATCCAAAGCAGGCTCTGTGCTGACAGCAGCGAGCCCAATGCAGGGCTTGAACTCACAAATGGCGAGATAATGACCTGAGCCAAAGACGCTCAACCGACTGAGGCACCCTGAAGTGTTTTAAATGGATAATACTAAACTAAAGTTTTAGGAGATGCATTAGGGTGATAAAAACTATATGGGTATATAAGAAAGTGATTAAAAGTCATGACAGAGGTTACTTTTGGGGAACAGGAAGGGTTGAAATCATGATAGTACATTCATAGTATTTCTGGGCACCTGGCAAAGTTGAGTGTGGTTCCAGGGGTATTTCCTTTGTAATAGCTCATTAAACTATACATTTAGTTCATGTGGTTTTCTTTATGCATGTTTTTTTTTTTACAATAAAGAGATTTTTTTTAAAAGCTACCATCCCTAGAATATAAAATCTTTGTTATGTAGTTGAAAGCTAACACAGTACATACATTTCTTTGGAAGAGACGTTTCTCAAATATTCTGGCTTTTCAGTTGAATGCATTTATAACACTTTCTGAATTTTTTTTAATCAAATTATGCCATATTGAAAGTTCATCTCAT